CCCCCCCAAGTATGTAAGTTGCTCATATCGTTTCTTGGAAATCGAAACTGGGTGTGGGAAATAATAGTTTTGCTTTTGTATTCATGTCTGTTAAGGTGTATATGTCTGTTTGGTTAAATTAATTAAGCAAGCCATTCAACAGTAACATTCAGACGTTAATTATTTTGAAATGATCGAACATCTCCTGTTGGTTTTAAAATTGAGTATTTTCAAGACGTCACAACACTTGTTTCTACAAAAGCGGATGCGACTGCCTCCACCGTGACGTCGGATTCAATAGCAGACAAGAAAGAACAGCTTCATCTCTCATTCAGAGAGTGACTTGAACGAGACTCAGTGTTGCCTCTCGCTGAAAAACAAAACAAAAAATAAAATCATGGGTAAAATATACCAGGTCAAAGTGTTCGGGATTGATCGTGAGCTTAAAGTGATTGACCTCTGCGACTCCGAAGAGATGATGAAGAAAATGACCGTCCTAGATCTGAAAAATAAAGTAGTAAAGAGGTTCCCCGGGACCGCAGGTAGGCTAAACACTGAAAAAGAAAAACAACGAGACTAGCTGCATTTTCACATTTCATAACAAACACAACAACAGGGTCAACCTATATATACATTTTAACTGAGCTGAAAACTTATCTGACGTGTGTAATTTTTATTTCAGGCTAATGTTCATCTATTTTCTAAAATGCATATTTTGTTTCTCCTTTTCATTCTTAAACGCGTTCTTGGGTACAGATGATCTGAAGATGATCTTCGCCAACCATAGGCTAGATGACGACAATGAACTTCTGTATAAATATGGAATCCAGCACTTGTCTGTTATCCAGCTGGTGGTGAAGCTTAATGGAGGTCTACCAGCTTGATAGAGGGCGACGGAGAACACAGTCATCGTCTCATTTTGTATAAAGATCTGTGTTGAAAATGTGATCCTGATCTCAAAATATGAAGGATTCGATATTGATGTCATAACAATACTTGACACAGTACTTAGGTTTTGATTATCACTGACTTTTATTACATTGTTAATTTCTTGAATAAAAAAAAGAAAGAAAACTGAAGAATAAATTGTCACAGATATAAAAATCGGCTTCCCTCTTGTTTTTTTGTTTTTTGTTTTATCTCTGTAAATTAGTAAACTGAAATAAGATTTCTAATAAAGCCTAAATGGACCAAGTATATATTCTCTTTTTGTAAATAAAGGATGCATTATGAAAGCATATCATTTCCAAGTATAATGTTAAAAATTTTATACTGCATTAAATATTGCTCAGTTAGTTACACTTTACTATTGTTTCCGAACAAACTTCACGTTTTCAGCCACTATTGGTTTAAAACAGAGCAAAGAGATTTCCAGTAGATGTATGTTCTTTATGTTGGACATAAAGTCTACAAGCCTTTAGGCTAGATAATTACCTTCGGAAGAAACTGACGTAACAACCAATTATAAGCAAATACATACAAACCGTGAACAAAAGATAAAAGATAAAGTCTCAAGAAATAAAGATATGCAGGAAATATCAAGAGGAAAAGAATGGAATGGTTGCAGGTTCAAAGAGGCAAGCACATGAATCTTTGTTAAATATGTAGATAGTAGGGGCAAGGAGGAGAAGGTGAAACTGATATTAAACTAGATGCGTGCACAGCAGCAATTTCCTGTGGCCACATATGCAGTTGTAGGTGTGGCATCCAGCGAAAAAGAAAGTGAGTAGCGAGGAACAAGCCACAGATATCGTCCTTCAAGCGTGGCTACAAACTAAAGGTATTTTTAAGTGTTTTTAAGGTGTTTTGTTTCTTCCGCTTTGCCTTTATTATATAAAAACAGATTATAAAGGTTCCTAAACATCATTTACATTTTAAAGTAGGTTATATGCGGTGGAACAACATTTTTGGCGCATTGAAGGAATCACAATGACTGACATTAATTCTCATGGTACGACGCACAGTTTACATCTGAAAGCTATTCTTTGATCCATAATAATAAAACTAGTGTGATACTTATTATTTTCTTTCCAACAGCCAAAAAACCCAATGGATTGGTAAATCAAGGAGCAACGTGTTACTTGAACAGTGTGCTGCAGGTGCTGTTCATGACCAAAGATTTCAAAGAAGCGGTGACAAGGTCTGGTACAGAAATTAATGAAGCGAATTTATTTGGTTGAATTTAATTGAATGTGTACCTTTGTATCATTCACGACCAATGTGTTTATTTTTTATAGAGACTCTAAATATATTGATCCACTTCTTAAACACCTGTTTGAAACCTTAAAGAAAAAAACAGCAACGACGTCTCGGATCACAAAGAAGCTGAAGATCCAAGGTACAGTGTCTGTTAGCAAGTGTTAATAATGGCTTTTAAATTTTAAATTTAAGAGCAAAACACCTTAACATCAGGTTAGTGTTAACATAGTCTGGTGTAAGAATTTTAATGCACTCCTTTTCTGCTACAGGCAATATTAACAATTAATTAAACTAAGTTTTAAAATCCCAGCTGTAGAACAGTAAATAAGTATATATTTGATTTTTCTCCTCACCACCAGTGTATGAGCAACGTGATGCTGCTGAATACTTTGAGAAGATTTTAAATGAAACCAGTCGTAAGGCTTCACAGGTAACACTGTGAAGCTATATATTTATATATGTTTGTGCTTGTATGTGTGTGAAGTTAAGTGTCTCTATTTTTGAAAACTTTAGATATTTCAAGGAGAGCTGACACACAAGAACACATGCAGTGAGTGTAAGACAGATACAAACACCAGTGATCCATTCTGGAGTCTGCCTCTTGCATTGGAGTCAGACAATAATGAATACAATGTGGTAAGGCAGCCACTGTTCTATTAGATGTGCAAAATAAATGTGTAACAGATTCAAATGTGTAGCATGAAGAGCACATTTCAAATAACAAACATTTCGTCAAACAATTTTGATAAAATAGAACAAAATGTACTGCATGTTGAGTTGCAGTATGCTGCAATATAAGAAATATCCCATGTATTGTGTTCACTACAGGTGTGTACTGTTGAAGGGAGAGACTTGGTTCAAGTAATATGAATGTGTTCTTTATTTTCCCCAGGAGAAAGAAATTAAAGACTTTTTCCAAGAAGTATGTATTGATGGAGACAACCAGCTCTATTGTGAAATATGCGATGCCAAAGCTGGTGCTAAAATAGTAAGTTAATAAGAAATACCTTTGTGATTTATGCACATAAACTTGAAGGCCACAGGTTTAAAGGTGTTATAATTGCAATGGTGGGATTGCTTGACAATGCCAGTGGCCTAGGTGTTCTCTTGTTGTTGAAGTTTACACAGTGGAGTTAGGACAGGATGTTTTAATGGTCATTTGGTTCTGTTACAATATTTAATTTAATCTGGAGGTCCTTAATGAAGAGCATGAATATTTATGTTTGACATTAAGTAAATTATAAAACTGTTGAAACAAAATAGCATGTAGATTTGATGATGTTAAAATAGTTAACTTCTTAAATCTGTACAGCAGTCGTTATGATTAAAATTTATATTTTTAGGGATTCGTTCTCTTTTTAACTACATTAAATCTTAAATTGTGGGGCACTTAAAATTCTTGACATCTTTTTGGTATATGTCCATTAATTAGAAATTGGAAATGACACGTTATCCAGAAGTTTTGACGCTGCTGTTGAAAAGATTTAGGTTTGACCATCGATACCAAGAACATGTGAAAATAAAACGAGCAGTCACAGCTCCTGACACTCTACAAATACCAGAGGTATACTGAATATTTCATTATGTTGTCATTACTTTTTATTTTCTAATTCCTGATACTAATTTCTTTCTTTTTTTTACCCATTATCAGAACCAGACCTATGAGCTTTATGCATTTGTCGAGCACTTTGGTGACTTGAGATCCGGACATTACACCGTAACAATCAAATCTCAGGATGATGACAGATGGTACAACTTCAATGATACCTGTGTCACATTGGTAAGCCTGATTGATTTTTTTTTCCATTGGTATTGTTCCCAAGACATGAATACTTTAACACATATTAATGCAGTTTTGTGCTTGATAGAAAAAAGTATTTAGCCTATAGATGATCACCTTTGTATTCTTTATATTAACAGCTTCCAGAAAGACCATTCCAGCTGGACAGAAATAACACGTAAGCTTTTATCTGAATTTTCTTCCGAAAACAAACATTTACTGAATATTAAACTGACCCTACTTTACTTTTACAGTGCTCTTACTAGATCCAGCAGTGCTTATCTTCTGTTCTACAGGAGAAAGAAAAGTAAGATGGGAAACATTTCTGATGAACTTACTGATGTTTCTGTGAATGATTGTATCACACTGGCAGTTTGAAATGATTTTGACTGTTTTGATTTCATTTCCAGTGCATGCTGCAGACACACAACACATCAGTGAGGCACCCACTGGTGGAGCTTCAGCCAATGAGCAACAAGAACAGGTTGTAAAGACCACAGGGAGAGACGAAGGTGAGGCAGCAGGCATGGACCATAACCTTGTGGACATACAGGGAAAAGATCAGCAGATGATAATGAATGATGTAGAGAATAAAGATGAAAGTAAACAGGAAAAGGAGAAAGAAAAGTACTCGGCAAAAAACAAGAAAAACAAAGACATGGAACATGTAGACAATGAAAGCAGTGACCAAATTACAAAGAAAAGAAAAACTGATAATCAGGAGTCTGATGACCACAAGAATGATGTTGTGCATCAGCAGGATGCAAATTTAAAACCCAGAAAAGGCAGTGATCACCAGGATAACCAACACAGTCTGAAAGTAGAACAAAATGAAGAAATGAGAGAGTACAGACTAAGAGATAAGGACAAGAAGATGATGATAGCTGAGATGGTAGACAGTAATAGCACAGATGAAGCTAATAGAAGTAAAACAAGAGATGGGAAAAGCGGGTCTGTAGTGCATAAAGACTCCTCTGATATGTTTCAAAGCAGTGGAAAGGTGGATGAAGGTAAGCGGAACATGTCAGAGAATGATGAAGAGCAAAAGAAAAACGATAAGCAGCATGAGACAGATGGTGAAGCTGCACAAAGAAGAGATAAAACAAAAAGAGACTTTTGTGAGAGTGGAAAATACAAGTATAGCTATCTATTAGCTGATGACAGTCAAAGCAAAGAACAGCACAATCTGGGACAAAAAGTCAGGCATGAATGTGTGGAAGGAGAGACTGTGGAAAATCAGCACAAACTAGCGGTTATTCAGTCACACAGCAGACCTAGAAATGTTGGTGAAGACATGCGAGGTATAGATTCTGAGAAGGAAGATCAGACAATTAATATTCAAAAATGCGTCAACATGCAGACATTAAAAAAAGCAGAGGAAATAAATGATGAAGGATGTGACTCCAATAAAGGTGAACTGCAAACTTTTCACAATTTTAACAAAGGTAAAAGTGATAAAATAGAAAACAGTCACAAGAAAAATGTAGCAAAAGAGTTTCATACAGGAATACAGCATGAGAGTGAGAAACAAGACGTATCTGATAAAAAGAGGAAAGGAAACAAGAGAAAGCAGAAAAAAGGAACAAGATTTACATGGGGTATTAGTTGTTGCGGAAAAGGTTAGGGTAATCAGAGTGAAGTCTGAATGCTATAACTTAACCTAAAATGTTACTTTACAGAATCTTGTTTTGTATTTAGTTTCAACGTGATTTTCAGATTTTTAATGTATTCATCAGAGATCAGTTGAAATCATGTGAAATGCTGTAAAAATGTTTCCTTTTTTATTCTTCTTCTATAATTGCTTTCTTGGTGTATTTTACGTTGGTATTGGTATTGAAGTTCACTTTGTTCATTTTGGTTAACTTTGTTCCATTTTTATAAGGTAATATGTATTATTTCCTATTCAAGGGCCCAACGAGCATCAGTTTAAATCAGTTGATAAAAAAAAAAAACGGAAACAGAAAAAGATTTTAAAATTGTTCTTGATGTTTACTGATATCTAATTCAACTCATTCACAATAGTGCAGAAATTTATTTCATGAATCTGTATTAGGAGGATAATTTCACATTTAAATTATACATATTAGTATGTTTTCAGTTTTACTGTCTGATGACATAAAATATCTGGTTGGTCTCAGTGTTGGGACTAGCAAAGTTCACCTGTAACCCTCTGAGTATTTAAGACACATAAAAAAAACTAGTAAGACTAGTAAAAACAAGTTTTTGAGAAAAAATATTTAGGTTAGAGATGCTTGATTTTATAGTACGACTCTAATGAGAAACCTGTGAAACACTGGATCACAATAAACTGCTTGAATATGCCTCCACTTCAAGCTCTGCCCGTGTGATTTCTTTGAATGCATGCTACAAAAACTGAATAGTATATTTTAACACGGCAGCTGAGGAACAAACTCTGGTAACTGGCAATTGTATTTAGAGACGTGACGCTAGAGACACCAGCAACCATAGTGAATGGGGGCCAGAGCAGGTGACACTGGTGGAAATTTAAAACTGCTGGCTTAGGGTCAATGTAAATGACATAAAATAGTGCTGGATCAGGTGACCCTGAAACCTTCCTTAGTTATTCTGCAATAGGTTTAGGCTCCTAGGAGATTCCTATGATGCACTGAATCATAGGAATCTGAGAAAGTTGTGTCTTCATTCACCTTTTTCACTCACTATGTGTTTATATTACCACTCTGCACTTAAGTATTAGTTATTATTAATCTCTGGCTGTTGTATTATCGTAGCGTCATTACCTTACAATATAAAGTGCCTTGGGGCAACTGTTATTGTGATTTAGCGGCATGTAAGTAAAATTGAATTGAGTTGAATTGAATTGATAGTTTTTCTAAATTGATTGGGTGTCTGGTTAAGCTTAACTTTCTACTGTATGTTGAAGACACTGTAACTCAAAATAATTTTAGTCAGCTATCCACTCTTGGAGCCTTCAAGCTGGATATCAATGCTTTTATCCACAACCTGATTCTGTCCATAACTACCCAGAGCTTGTGACCATCAGTGAGCGTAGGAACAGTGATCAGTAAATTGACAGCTGTATTTTAACGCTCAGCTCTCTTACAAGCAACAGATCTTCACTACACCCTATTTATCTCTCAATCTCATACTCTACTCCCTGCTTAGTCAAAAATTTGAACCAGGAAACAGTCAAATGCCAAAATGGCAATAATGGAAAGAAGACTCCGAAACAAATCCCAAGAAAGATAGTTTCACAGTTTAACTGATTTTGGTTTTGCTGAACTACACTGTTGTGCAAAAGAAGAAAGCTCTAACTCATTTTACCAACATAAAGGATAGATTATCAGTTCACTATGACTGAATCCAGAGACATAACTCTGGGATCACATCTTCTGTCATTCTGACTCTCAGTTCAGATAAGCTCAGGGAATTGACAGTAAACGGTCACCTTCAATGACACCGTTTTTTAAAAATACTTTTAGTTTCTCTTCTCTCATCCTTTGAGTCAGGTTCAAAAGAATTCAAAGTATCAACCATAAGTTTCATTCTAAGATAAGGTTGAGTAATTGTCCACACCCACTGATACTTGATTTTCACTTTCAGTTCACTGTAACTGACATGATTTCTGTACAGTCAAGTGTGAATCACTCCCCTCATTTAGCCCGTT